TTTTTTCCGGAGACAGGGTCTTGCCCTGCTGCCCAGGCTGGAATGCACTGGTTTGATCATGGCTCATTGCAGTCTCCAACTCCTGGGCTCAAGCAGTTGTCCTGCCTCAGTCTCCCAATTAGCTAGGACTACAGGCATGTGCCATGATATCACACCAGCCTTCCCATAAGTTTGGGAAGCTATGTTCTAGGTGTTACGAAGTTAAGGATCATTTCTGAGGATGTTATGTACATGATGACAAAAAATTTTTTTTTTTTTGAGACAGAGTTTCACTCTTGTTGCCCAGGCTGGAGTGCAATGGCATGATCTCAGCAGCTCACTGCTACCTCTGCCACCTGGGTGTAAGTGATTCTCCTGCCTCAGCCTCCTGAGTAGCTGGGATTACAAATGCCTGCCACCACGCCTGGCTAAATTTTTGTATTTTTAGTAGAGATGGGGTCTCACCGTGTTGGTCTGGCTGGTCTTGAACTCCTGACCTCAGGTGATCCACCCGCCTTGGCCTCCCAAAGTACTGGGATTACAGGCATGAGCCATCACCATGCCCAGCCCAAAAATACACTTCTAAGAAGGCAACAGAACTATAAAATAAATACGTCACCATTAAATGTCAAATGAGGCATCAACTCCTTCATTTCTTCTTCTGTGAGTTCAATCCCTTCGCTTGCTAGAAAGTTATCTAAGTTCTGGACATCAATCATCTCTCCTTAGAAAGAGTAAGAAATGAAATGCAGAAATATTACAGAATTATTTGCAAAGTACAAAGAACACTATCTATGCTTATATACATTATCATCCAGAATAGGAGGGTCAGAAACCAAAATCTTTAAATCAGAAGGTGGATACAAAGAAGAAAGTAACCAGGGGTTAGGAATTGACTGGTGGGTTGCTGAAAAATCCACAGCAAATTAAAATACATATAGGGACTAGTTTTATGTAACAACATTACAGATTAATGTAACAGGGGAAAGATAAAATTGCATCACTCTAACACAGGAACCATTTTTAGTTTTTTATATCCCATTTTGGTCTTTGGCAATAAGACTGTACTTTTACAATGCAGAAATGTAATATATGTACAATCCCATATTTTGCTTTTCCAACCTAAAATCATTCTTTCATAAACATGTTTCCAAGTTGCCACATAATCTTTTTTTTTTTTTTTTTTT